CAGCATATATCAAGACTGATGACGATAGTAGACTTGGGAGGTTATTTTCGTAGCGTGCCTCCAATTCCAACATTCCTTAGCTTTTATAACAGCCGGTTATGCGGAACTTTGTCGAAAGCTTTGCTGAAATCGATGTAAGCTACGTCTATAGGTAATTTTTGGTCCTTAAGAGCGCACCAGCTTTCACGAGCGACTAATAAGTTTGTGAGACAAGAGTAACCTGTTCTAAAACCATGTTGCTTTTCGGAGAGGATCCGGTTTTCATCGAGATACATTAACAGCTCCTTCTGAATAATCTTTTCTAAGTTTTTAACAACCACACTGGTTAGGCTAATGGGTCGGTAATTCTCAGGTTTATGTTTCGCACCTGTTTTGAAGACAGGACTTGCTGTGATGTTCTTCCAGTCATTTGGTAGACGACTCTGAGTTACGGATAGATTAGAACATACACTTAAAGGGTTCGCAACAAAGTTAGCTAGTTTCTTTGATAACCTAAGACGCGGTTCATCGGGTCCAATGGATTTGCTTATGTCAAGCTTAATTAGCAGACCAAAGACATCGAGTTCTTTAATAGTCACGCTGTCTAGTGTTTGTGTGGGGGGATTTTCATGGACTGATGGGAAGGGTGTTTCTATGGTATAATCATTGCTAAAGTATTTTGAGCATACTTGAGCTTTGCCAAAGTCGTCCTCCACTAACTTGGGGCGGTACTATCTCCCCATAGTGAAGGAACGTTTCTTCTTATTTTTATCCTTTGGTTTATATACGAATACAAGCGTTTAGGGTATTTTATGGATTCCTTAAACATTTTCTCTTCGTACAGCTTTCTGGACTTACGGAGGGTCGAGGCACAGGTATTCCGAGCTTTGTGATACTGATATTTCGCCTCATCAGTCTCCAGTATCCTAAATCTATCCCACATTTTCCTTCTTTTACGGAGAAGGACGTGAACCTCCCTACTGAACCATGGTGCAAAGATTTTCGGCCCCCTAGGTGTAGTTCAAGGGATGTGGGGGGCGGTAACTTTTAAGTATAAGTTTCGAAATACGTCCCAAGCCGTTTCGATTGAGGTCATTATTTATAGACTCACAGAAATCGCCCTTCGATAACACTGACTGGTCACAACCAGCCGGTAAACTGTAGGTGACAGAAAAGAACGTTGGTACTAGGTCCATTGAAGTGACAACCATAAGAATGGGGCAAACTTCCCAGGGGAGGTGTAGCAGTTGATCGCACAGCAAAGGCGGACGTCAGTGTTAGGCTGTGTACCTATGCTACATATCGTTATAACCAAATGCTTAGTGGTCTAACAGGACGCTGTGGGTGACGAGGTTTGAAAGAGACAACACCTTCATGTATATTTTTACAATTGCAGGGGTTTTGACATCAGTAAATGAAATTATTGTTTATAACACTAGAAGGTATTGCCCAGCGATAAACAGTACGAAATCCTCAATCCAAAGCCAATCATCTCCCTAGAAGAAACTTTGTCAAATCCACAATTAATGAACATGATAATGGATCCATAGCTAATTGCTTGACAGTAAACTAGACAACCACACAAATTTTTCCAGCTATTTCAGTCTGCTTATGGCAATGTTGGTTAAGACTCGACATAATTCATAGCTTATAAAAAGCAGAGAGGTCGCGTCGTGTAATATATAGGCTAGTTATTTCTAAGTAAGACATTGTATCCTATTCAATCACCTTACCAAACATTTTCCCCATGATGATCGGGCTTTCTGGTTTGGAGTTTGTTAAATGATACCTCAACTTCGTCCTGCGAACTAGAGTAGCCTTCAGAACTTTTCAGTCCAACGTTAGTTTACCCCGGTCAAATGACATCTTGAATATCCTAGTGGGCAAGACCGTTATGATTATTGAACGCTTTCTGAGAAACTAGGGGTAAACCAGACTATTCCTTTTGATTTTTTCACCATTGTACAGTGTAGTGTCCTTCTTATATCAAACCAGTTTAAGTTAACAGTGAGTAGCTAGGTTCGTGAGTGCACTTGGTGCCGATCATGCGTCGACAAGAGGGTTAATATTAAAAACCCTCACAAAGTAATCAGCTGTAATTTGTGTATTGTCTCAGTTTTCCTTTATCGACTGAAACACATTTCCTTCCCTTGTTAAACTTTGGGTCCATTCATACATGAAAAGTATTCGTTTTTATTACGTTCAAATGCAGTTTACCTCGGTTGGGTTCCGAATTTCCTCAAAAAGCAATGGACCTCAAGATATGTTTGTTCCTCGTCGACTTAAACAGTTTCATTACCTTCGTCATACCAGGTATGATTTCGCTGTCCGAGAGTTTTTTCTTTTGTCCAGTAAGCTGCAATTGTCACGGTTCATCCAAGACTGGATAACTTTTTTTGTTTAAAAATGATTTTTTTGGCTTCCGGATGTGATTCAATGCTTCGCCTACGAAACGTCTGACTCCATTTCCAAGAATTCAGGATAGGCCGTAAAAATGGCTGCCTTCACATCTGCCTTCTATATGTCAGGACAGAAAAAGACTTCTGCTTCTTGCTATACGTCAGGAACTCACTTTCACCTTTCAGTTTAAGCTTCAGCTTAGGAGAGACAAGAAGCTAGATGGCCTGTATTCGTATTGGCAATGATGGTCTCAGTTGATGTACCTTTCTTTTGAAAGAGACGATAGATATGGCTTCAACCACGTGTTGAGGAAACGAGTTCCACTAGTTGATACTTCGATAGGAATGTCGTTATTCAGCTGACAAGTAATTTGTTCTGGTCTTAGGAACGTTCTTGGAACGTCCTCGTAAATCCTCTGTTTTGGAAGACAAGAAAATGGTAGCATATCAGATGCAAATTTATCACCAATCAATATGAAAACCACAATCAAGTCACCTCTAGTTCTTCTATATGACATGATACGGGAGATTCGCTGCTCCGAGAATCAGATTAGTTGCTGTTCCCTGAAACATGTACCAAAACCCCAGTGTACTTTTTCGCAGGAGCTAGGCGCTTGTATGCAGCACTCAAGTTTAGGCCGAACAAATACTACATAAAAAGTCAAAAATGTCTTAGTGTTGATATGGCTAAAAGTCCTACGTGTTAAGCATAGAGTTCTGAAACATTTGGCGGCTGTTGCATGGTAGTGTGCGATAGCCTTTAAGTTTTGGCTAACGATGACCTTTAAGTCATTGTGTGTTTTGACTACATATAGCTCAGTGTTATTTATCATGTATGTATCTGTATCCTGATGACCAATATGCATCACAATACAATTGGAAGTATTTTTCCGCAACTGTCAAGTTTGAGACTATTCAGATAGTTTCTCCATGTCATTTTGAAGCATTAGGTCGTCACTTTTATTCTTTATCGCTCTCCACATATCGACATCGTCAGCATATAGCAAGACATATACTTGAGGGATTGGCAACCAAATTTGTTAATTTTTTTAGTAGCCTAGGATGCGATTCCCCAAATCCCGTGGATGTATCTATATCGTGCTCACTTAGCAAACCAAAGACATCGAGTTCATTAATGGTCACGTCGTCCGATGTGTAAGGGTTTTGTATGAACTGAAGTGAAGGATGTTTCTATGGTATTTAACTTGCTAAAGCTTTATCATAGTCATCGTCCACTAACGATGAAGCATTAATCTCCCTTAATACTGCTGAAATATTACTCTTCTTTTATTTCTTTGGTTTATATACGAATACAGGCGTTTAGGACATTATATTGATAGGTAACAAACTATCAAAACAATAAAATACACTGAGCAAGGAAAATTGTATGCAATAGTCGTTTCTCAGTGTAGGTACGTGATTTGACTGATATCCCTATACTTGGTAAGGACTGGATATAGGGCAAAAATGGAATAAGATTTGTACTATTATGGACCATAGTGAGTGATATATTGATCAAGAATTATAATCAAAACGGTTTTTCAGTAAGCTTGCCTCTTATTGACAGTAGTCTGTAGAGTATGCATTGATGTCACCTACAGCAAATTTTCTGCACCTTGCTGAATACGATTTCAGTGCACTTTGCGGGGGATCATCTGTCATTCGTAAAGGACTGCGGCAAACTGAAACTAGTTTGCTGTATTATCACGTACACTTCATTTGGCACACAACCGATTCACATGTCCCTGAGTTCACACATATGAGTTATCTGGATAGCAGGAGAGACCCACTTCTAAGAGGTCTGTAACTAATATTGAGAGGAGCAGCTTCAATCCTGGTAGCGCCGCTTAGTATGGTGTTCTCACACTCGCCAAGTCGAGGAAAACTACCGGAAATTTGGAAGCTGGCTCACATCACACCAATTTTCAGAGGTCGACTCAGCGAACCCTCAAGCTACCGATCAGTGGCCCTTCTCTCCATACCTTCTAAAATTATGGAGTCCCTTATATGCGATGGTGTACAAGACTATTTATTACCCTTAAATTTCTTCTCACTCCAACAGCATGATTTCAGGAAGGATCACTCTTGTATAAACCAACCTGGTGACTGCGGTGGACAGATGGTCAACCATGCAAGGGGAAGGTTGGCATCGTTTGCCTTGACTTCCCAAAACCTTTTGGTAGGGTCAACCATATATGTCTTATCAATAAGCTCAAACGATTAGGTATCAAACCACCTTTAATTGATCAGCTGACTTCATATCTAAATGATCGACATTTTAAAGTCAGACTTAACTTCACTCTCTCTCAGACTATGAACTGTCATAGTGGGGCTTCCCAGGTCTCAATACTAGGACCTCTTCTGTTCTTGATTTAAATAAACGATCTTCCACAACGAGTATCGTCTGACTTATTGCTTTTTGCTGATGATGTGAAACTTTGGAGAGAGATACACGACCAAGAGGATGTACTGGCACTTCAGGAGGATCTGAATGGACTTCAAAGTTGGGAAGATGATAACAGACTTACCTTCAACACTTCAAAGTGTAAAGTAGTCCATCTGCGACATGTTGTAGACTACCGTTACAACTTAGGAAACTTAGGATACCTGGAGGAATCGGTGATTGACCGTTAATAGATATGGAAGCCTGTTAAGCGAAAGTTTCTTCTATTCCGTCTAGAACAATTTGAACGATTTTAGTATTTTTTGCTGGTGAGGTAAACGACAACCATTAAAAGGATTAGAATCGTGAAAACGGTGTCTTTCATTCCTCGAAGTTTTCTTTATGAACAACTGAAGAAATCAAAACAATTCACATAAAATGAATTTTTATTATCTTTAGAGAAAGCCTAAACGAAATCTGTTTGTAAAAATTTGTTAATTTATATAGCGCATTTTACAAAGTTTTCGTTGGAATTTGGGGATGGCCCCATGGGTTGTCGGCAAGTCAATCTCCAAAGACCAGTTAAATCGTTTGCTTGAACATAAATACCACTGTGAAGGAGAAAGCATATGTGACAACCTACTTAAGGACTTTTGGCGTATATGTTCTTTGTATATACCAACATATATTGCTCCCAATACTCTCACAGTAATTGGTCTCCTCGCCAATGTATTTGCTTTGTGTTTGCTGTTGTCTTATGGGGTATGCAAATACACCAATCACATTTTTTAAGGCTTGTTTCTTTACTTCGTTGGTGTTTGTAGTGTGTGTATTCGCGTACCAGACTTTAGATGCCTTAGATGGCTTGCAAGCTCGCCGTACAGGTTCTTGTTCTCAGCTTGGTGAACTGTTTGACCATGGTTGTGATGCTTTATCCACATGTAACTCTATCTGTACGCTCTAACTGTTTAGGTATCCTTCCTATAAGTTATTTCATCGTCATTGGTTTGGATGACTGGCCTATGTTGATGTTCATTCAATACTTCTGTATCCAAGTTTTATTTTATGTAGCCCATTGGCGATGTTATGTCACGGGAGTTCTTGCATTTGACCGGTAAGTGAGCATAATTGAAGAGTTTTGTAGGGTCGGAGTGACAGAGGGACTTTTAATTGGAATTTTATTTGGGACGATATCTTCAATATTTGGTCACTCTATTTGGAGCATGAAAGTGAGTTTCTTTTACTATCCTCAATGCCTTGCGTAAGTACGTGGTGGCTGAAAGGAACCTGTCTTGCTACTCTGGGAATCTTATTTTATATTCCAATATATATATATATATATATATATATATATATATATATATATATATAGGGTATTGATAAACTAAATAATAATAAGCATGAATTTTCGGAAGTTGGGGAGCGATTGGTTTTTATTGCTTCTGGTTAGCAGAATATGTAGTATACACTCTTGGAAAATATTAAGGCGAATTAAAGGACCAATTAATACATCGTTCTATAGTAGACAGAGGTTTGTAAAACTTAAAGTAGTTTTAGTTTTAGTAAAACCAATTCCATTGACATCTTATGGGACAATATTGAACCTATCGTAGTTTTCTTTTACGATCTTCACAAAATAGGACTCTTCTGACTAAACAATTCCTCTAACTATAAACTGCTTTCGTTCACTTTTAGTTATACTACCTCTCTCTATTCCTTCACGTCTCTATATCCTGTTTTTGTGCAGGACATTGATATTTAGTCGCATCACTATTTATTAAATAAGTAAATGTGGGACTTGCATATAGCTAGTTCTATAATTCATTTATTTCAAATCTCAATGCATCCACAGTGTCAGATTATTTTCTGTCAACCTGGATCTCGAAAACTGAAAGTGAGTATAGTGCATGAATAAGGGCCCAAATATCTCAGTCGGTGGAGATTTACAGCCTTATCAACTGATTAACCATCGTTCCCTAATACCTTGCGTTTAACCGCACCATTACTTACCCGTTGATCCCAGTAGATGCGTGCAATATTTCTAGGACATTTTTGATCAAATACTAGTAACTTACGAGTATCTTCTACTCTTAATGGCCACTTTTCTCAGCCGTAAAGTAAAACAGAGCAGACTGCTGTGCAGTGTACTCGTCCCTTAATCGATAGATGGATATCTCGCCTTCGCCATAGGTGACGTAAGTTGGCAAATTGCAAACGAGCTTTTTGAATCCGTGCTGAGACTTCGTCAGATACCAACCCATTAGGGCTGATCAGACTTCCAAGATAAGTGAAGTTGTTGACGCGTCCGACTACTTCGATTCTTTTTCTTAGTTCAGGTGTTGATGCAGGCCAGTTCTGGAGCAACAACTTGCACTTAAATAGGGAGAAACGTATCCCAAACATCCAGGCATTGCTGTTCAATGCTAAGAAAAGACTTCATTTTATCAGCGTCTTTTTCAAGCAGAACTATGTCATCTGCGTATTCTAAGTCGCTTAGTGGACCCTCTGGTAGAAGATCAATTCCTGAAAATTCAGTCGACGAGTGTTATTTCCAGCAACAGATCTATAATGAAGTGAAACAAAATGGGGGATAGTGGACAGCCTTGACGGACACCACTTGAGGTTGTAAAATCATATGACAGTTCGCCATAAGCTCTCACTCGACTGATAGTGTTCAAGTAAACAGCCTTCACAAGGCTTATGTACTTCTCAGGTACACCTTTTAATGACACACTGCCACAGAACCTCTCGGTCTACAGAGTCAAATGCTGCTTTCAAGTCAAGAAAAACTATCATTGTCGGACGCCGATAAGCATGTCTGTGCTCTAAAACTTGACGAGTGGTGAATATGTGGTCGATACAGCCACGACCAGGTCTGAAGCCAGCCTGATTTTCTCGTGTTTGCAGTTCACGAGTCTTAGTTAGGCGCCCGATAATTATTGAGGCTAGTATTTTAGATGCTATGTTAGTCAGACTAATCCCTCTATGGTTAGTTAGTGACTTCAAGTACTGATAAAGATAATCCACATACCTAAGAAAGTATCTGGTGATGAAAATGTGAAATTTAGACACATAGCAATTGCCTCTCCTTTCCTCAAAATAATGGAAAAAATTTGATACTCCCGCTTCAACCAGCGATTAAAGAACACAGTGATCCGTATCAGTTTGCTTACAAATGAAAAAGAAGCACCTTAGATGCCGTTGCTGTTCCGCATCACAATATAGTGTTCGGCTTGGAAAATGGTAAGAAGTATGTTCGATGCGCTTTTCTGGACTATACCTCTGTTTATGATTATATCCCAAGACAACTTTTACTTACAACTCAAAACTGACAGCTGGATAAACAACTGACTATGTTCCTACCTCTCTGTAAGAAAACAGAACACTGTGTTTGGAGGAAAGCGTTTAACGTCTCTATTGTCTCATGAAGGTGTGCCACAAGGAGCTGTTTTTTCACCTTTTTTTCTGCATGATCTACTTCCACAGAAAACACTTGTGAGATATACGGACGACCTCACTGTATGTATACCGAATTCTACCTCTTTACATCCCATGGAAATGAGTTTTTGTATCATACTGAATAGTGGTGTATTGTTAATGGTCTCATACTTAATCTGTCTCAATGTCAAGCTGTTAACTTTAGCTTAGGACATGGACAGCACCTTAACATCATGCTGGGATCCCATGATGCATGTGCCATCGGAGATTCTTTGATAAACACAATGTCGAAGGTCAGTTATCTTGGCTTTACCTTTCCCTCTAATCTCTCTTGGTCTTCTCATGTTTTACTGTTATCGAAGAAAGTGTTCCGTCTGAATTACTACATGAAGAGGCTGCATACCTTTAGGACTACTCGACATATACTGTTACAATTTATCGATTCCCGCATATCACCTATTATTTTTTACTGTTCTCCATTATTCTTTCTTGGGTTTTTGAGAAAAGACTTTTCTGTATTTCGGAGAGCGCTGAAGGCAGTTAGCAGAATGTGTGGTGAATCATTAAAGGTCATTATTAGTATGATTGTTGATAGACACCTAAAGTCTTGCGAACTCCAGGTAGGCGTTATCAGATACTAACCACCCTCTTCATCCATATCTTTCTCTTTGTATATGTTCTGGTAGAAGGAGACGTCAATACATTGAAATCTATGCACACAAAGGTATAAAAATTATGTAATGCCTTACCTAGCAAATATATTCTGTGACAAACAGGTTGTTAGATTTGACCTAGTCAATAACCTGTATTCTTAAGCATGTCCTTAATTGAAAAGTTGTATAAATTCAGATTTTTCTTTGACCTTTTTGTTGTTTTTGTTGATGTAGAAGAAACTTGTTGAAACACTTTGTGCTGAGATTTCTATATTGTCCCAAAATATAATATTGAATAAACCCATTAATAATAATAATCAGTTCTTGAAAATCCAGTCTATGAGAAAATTTCCAGCAGTAGGGTCTATGATGAAATTAAACAACAATTGAGATAATGGACAGCCTTGTAGGGTAGCGTTTGAGGTTGCAAAATCAGATGACAGTTCTGTATAAGCTCTGACTCTACTGGTAATGTTCGGGTAATTGCGACCAGTCAGATGGGAGTACGTCCAATCCGCAGACTTTAGCTGAAACATTAGTCTACCTAATCACTCAATCTGAAACACCATCCTTATAGACCCATGGAGCCGATTCATCTGGACCAGCTGCTTTTCTTGTTTCAGATTAGCTATAGCTTTTCGAACTTCAACTCGAGTTGAGGGGCTTATCTCAATGTTCCATTCAGGCTGTTTGGGAATGGTGGGTAGCTGAAGGCTAGTTGAAATGCTCCTTTAAATGTTCCGCCCATTGTTCTAAACGTCGACTGAGAGCAGATAAGAGTACCGTCTTCCTCCTAGATTATCTCACTTACACTTGAATTCTTAATTCCGGTTACTTTTATTAGTCTGAAATGCTGTCTAGTGTTACATACAGCTACTGCCTTTCCCATCTCTTTTGCTTTCTTTGCCCGCCACTGTTCACGATCGTTCCGTAAACTTTTGGTTAACCTAGATCTGATTTGTTTTCACTCGTCATCGCTTTCAAAGCCTGATGGGATAAGTTTACAGGAATCTATCAGTTCAACAGATGTCACAGAAATCCACTGGTTTTTCGTGACCCTTTGGTTCGAATCACTCAAATGTCTCTGTTGTTCCCACAGCTTTTTATATATCTATCCAAGCAACATCTGGGTAAGCCTCGTTTTCAGAATTACCTGAGTGTGACTTCCGTTGTTTCTGAAATCTACTTTTGGCTTTCTCGTCACTGAGTTCAGTCAGTCAGTGACAACGTAGAACTCCGTACGTACGTACATCAGTTCGATTTGCCATACCACATTAGAACAGAGATGCAGTTGTCGACTCAAATCCCGTAGTGGTAGAAGTGGTAAAGTATAAGCATTATGTCGCTGAGTTCAGTTCTAATGAGTCTTCTTAGTGTGGATTTTTTGCGTCCATTGAGGCGCAAGCCAATGCGTACTCGTATTGGAGCATGATCAGAGTCTAAACATGTACTTCAGAACGATTGGCAGTCTTCCATCAAGCCTCTCCAACGATGACTAATGGCGATATGGTTTATTTGAGTCCATGTTTGACGATGTCTCTCCTTATTTTTAAAGTAGGTGCTTGTCAGAATTAAACGATTGTCTGAGCACGGTTGCAGCAGATGGCCATCATCATCTGTTCGCTGAGCCGGAATACAAAAATATTCACCTAAATGTATTTCTGTTTGGCTTAAGCTGCCTACTTGGGCATTAAAGTCACCTGCTACGAGTACTATGTCTAAGTGTTCAGCTTTTTGAAGAAGTTCAGAAAGTTGTCTGCGAAATTCATCTTTCACTTTATTTAGGCTGCAGTCAATGGGAGCGTAAGCAGAAACGACAAAAAGGCAACGATGTGTGTCTATCCTTCCGAGTTCTTACGGAGCCATCTAGTCAAACAACACACATGCGACTTTTAACAGGGAAACATTCCAAAAGTGCTTGTTCTACCCTCATACTTAGTGCTATGCCTATACTCGTCAGTCTTCGAAAAATTGCCGTCGTGTCGCCATATACACGGAGGGTGTATCTCGTCGGCTCCCAATTTTGGCGAGGAGAGGTCAAGTGAATGACCACACTAAGACCCTGTATGTGTTTCGGAGACACAGGATATATCAATGGTGCGAGATTCTAGGGTCTTAGCCAAGGAGACCTGCTGGCCGATTTGGCATAGGGGGTTCAATTTGTAGTTTGGAGCGAGGTCTCATTAAACTTGGGACAGTATTACGTGCACTAGAATCGTTGACCATGGCGACACTTGAGGAGGAAGTGTAGAGTTAATAGTCGATGTGGAAGAGATAATGAGAATTGAAAGGGGGAATTAATCATGATTACAGTGGTCTTGAGTGATGTTAGAAGTATGAGGGCGGTAATCACTTCATGGCTGCCCACACCGTGGAAGGATTCTTCCAGATGTATCTGAAAAAGAAATTGGGTTAGAGTTGGTTTTAGTGACCTCAGAGTTCAAGGGACACATACTTGAGGTCGGTCACGCACGACCTTTCTGCGAGTAATTCTCGTGTTAGCTCCGTACTTGTTGGGGCCTTACCACCGGGGACAGAAATCCGTAGGACAAGACGAGTCGTGGATTTATAGGGTCAACCTTTTCCAACCCCAATCTTCCTTTGTGGGAAGGCAGCATCCATGTTATGCTAGTTGTCTAAGAGAAACAACTTGCTGCCGCCACTTTTTCGTACAATCAGCAGTACAACTTCGCTCTCGACCCTTGAGTTTGCTGCTTTCAGTCTTACTGCTCTTGAACCGACCTGCCTGATATGGTAGTGTAATGAATAAAAACACCAATGGGGACGATCAAATGTATTTAGGCACGAAATTACAGAATATTTCAGTAAAATCTAACAACCATACAGCAAATAGTTAGTTTGCAAACTGTCAATCAATTGTCTCAATCTTGACTATTCCTTCTGCAAATATCAGTCCATCGTTTCTGATTATTATTGTTCATCTATTTTCATACCAATTGCGTTTTGTTCGCGTTCTTTCGTTATCGATCCTCTACTGAAATACATTCAATGCCCGACCATCGTCATATATTACTTCTGTGGATATAAGTAACCCACATCACAGTAGGACCTTAGGAAACGATTGTTCCAGCCAGTAGAGCTCGATTGGTTCATTACGACAGACAAGCCCGACCACCATGTCAAGGTAGCAGAAATAGTCGGTCCCTAGCTCCCAGTATACTCCTCTAGAATCATTTTCTTGTCAAAGTTGTATGAAAATTTGATAGGATTATCTTATCCCTTCTAAATTTCTGTATTGTGATGTTTTGTTTTGATAATATTTAGTTTCTTTTTATCACTTATTATAAATGTTTTGTTATGTTAAAATCTTTGTGTAGGATCCACTTTTCGGTTTGGAACTCAAGGTTGTTCAGTTCCTCGTGTTCTCAATTGTCATGCTTCTTCTGGCAGTTCAGTTTGCTGATACTATTTCTCAAGGTGGTTGTGGTAAATACGGAACAACCGTTGCTGTAAGTTGACTCCAAATTTTCCTTAGAAATACAGACGGTATAGTTACCACTTCACATAGTTACTGCTAAAAACGAACGAAAGATTAAAAATTTTTTGAAGAATATATTCTGGTTTCCAATATGTTACTGAAAATTCATGGAAAACAGAACCTCAGTGTTTTATTTTTTCCCTCCTGTGCTATTTTATGGGACTAACTTCCATAGAATAAGTATAGCTCAAAGTTGTATACTGAAACCTTTATTTGGTTACTAGTTTGCATCACTTATCACTTCAAAAGCATTTCGCTACATTCCAAACATCGATTATGTAAATAAATGATGAGATATAATTCCCCATTACTCTTTAAGTTTCTCTAGTTGAATCAGAGTGATTTATTCACTACTATAGTTTCGTATTTGATTTCCAGTTCAACAGATTTCAGTACAAACTTTAATACGCTTTCCGCTGACCCATATGTTGTATAGTTCAAAACACCAATAAGATTAGTTGTATACGACCAACTTTTTTTTACAAACAAGTTCTCTTTAGTAAAAAAATAAATTGTAAACACATTGGGTGGGCTTATTTTTAGTTTTTATTGGTTTATTAAATGCTATTTTTTAAGAACGTAATAATTAACAATTACACTTTTCACCTCTGTTTTAGAATACTAGTGTACTATTTCCAGTTTGCCCTCTGATGCTTGCACTTGGTTTTCCTGTTTTGGTTGCTATTAATTCTCCGGTGAATCTTTATCACCAATCACCTTTTATTTTCCTGTTGACGTTTGGGATTGTTTCAGCCAAAGTTTCTCAACGTCTAGTGGTAAGTATTATCTAGCGAATAGAAACTTTATTTACTTAATAGTAAGGAAGTGATTTTCATTAACGATGAAAGTAAGGACTACAGGTGTTTATTTAATTCATTCAACCTGATAGTACGTGTTAAAGTTCTCATGTCAGTTAACCCCATTTTTACTGGGACTATTTAGGATTCTCGTAACAGTGTACTTGGAGAAACTGTTATTGTCATGTGTCATGTTCTATATTTTTTGTTCCTCTTTATACTACGTGTTCCGTTTAATAACTTTTATCAAAATAAGAAAAAAACAATTTTCGGGGAATACAGTAAGCAATCCATATTTTATTTCAAGGTTTCCCTCTTTTTAGTTACAACCGGTCTGAAAAATATGTCACTAAGGTAAGAACACACACTTGCTGTTCGGCAAAATAGATATGACAATTGAAATACTAGGGAAAGTTCGTATTTAAAGTTGATAGCTGACTGATGAGGGAGCTTGTAATTTATGGGTAGAAAGAAGATAACAGTTACTCTCTATGTAAGTCACATTAACACACAGGTAAAATAACTCATAAAAATTAATTAAACATCTAATATAATTTAAAAGTAGCGAAGACTAAAGTTGCCAGAAACGGGTTGTAATGTGCAAGAAGCTGCAGAATGTGGCCTACGTTATTCAATCCGGGAATAATCATCACTCTTTCAAACGATTCCTCTTTGCAGCTACAGGGCCAACCTTAAATTCTCTAGTTGACATCGCAACCTCCGAGGAAATCGTTTAATTAACTGTAAAACACATCCTTGATTCTATTCAGACTGAAGCCCGTTGATGGATATGCAGAAACTATAAAATGACATCGTTTCTCACTCCTTATTCTTCTCGCTTTTATTGAGCCCCCAAATGCCCTGGTACGACCGAGAGTGGGGAGAGTCCGCTCTCCCTATCGAAATGCTCTCACATGGCCACGCGTATATAGCCCCTGCCAGGGAAGTCCTACTCACTGCCTTCTCGTGGCGGGGGTGTTGTTTAAGAAAGTGAGAGGGCGAAAAGCGAATGTCCGGCGCTATAACCGGGTTGGTGGATATGAAGGATCCACCTAGGGGAGTTGGAAAACCCTGATTCCAAACCAATGGTGCACATGGGCTCCCGTATCCTGAAAGAACAAATGGCGAATGAACCAGTTATTGGTCACCGGCTACTATGGGACTGCATCTCCTCTCGATGCTCCACTGCCTTGTGGGTTAGACCTCTAGGTCAAAGGCTCGGGGTGTGGTCCCCTAAGAAAACCACCTGCTTCAGTTTGGGCACCCGGGCAGTATCACAGCCCTCTCGCAAATAAGTGAAATGAAACATTCAACTGACAATTATATTCTCGTTCATACTAGAAACAAATCAATTTGCATTAGTACTATTATTATTATTGTTATTATCATTATTATTTACCATATCGCTAATCTACCCCCTTTTATCCCCAATTTGTGTAACCTTACTTTTCAACTTATGCAGCAGCTCGCCCATGGTGGAAAATCTGTCCTGTCTAAACGATCTCCAGTCACTCTGGTTGAAAGTGGATGCTTCCACCGATTATGAATACTGAAGCAGTCTTTCTGAAACCACGTACGCCGTTCGAGCTAGCCTCCTTCAACGTTCGCACACTAATGCAGATCAGACAACCAATAGGGCCGGCTATGTCTTTGGAAGGTCTTAATGTTGACGTTTGTTGTCTATCCGAGACCCGTATTCAAGACTCTAGTGAAGTACTACAAATCCGCTCTCCATCTGTCGCCTCGAAAAGCTTGTTTCACGTGCGCTTATCCGGGGACTCTGTGACATCTTCGTCTGGTCTTGCAGGCGTTGGTTTTGCACTAAGCGCTAAGGCTGAGGCAGCACTAATCGATTGGATCCCCATTAACAGTCGGTTATGTGCTGTTAGATTAGAAAGTTCCATCAAAGTGAGAAGAAATCGGCGTGAGAAACGGTGTCTTTTCGTCATCTCCGCCTATGCTCCGACAGATTGCAGCCCGGATGCAATAAAGGATGAGTTTTACCATCAGTTAACAGTTCTTCTCCAGAAAGCGCGTTCGACAGATATTGTAGTACTAGCCGGAGACTTGAATGCACAGGTCGGGCGTATAGACACAGAAGAGAGTCGTTTAGGTGGCCGATGGGGACTTGTTGGTCGCAGGACAGATAGCGGGGACCGTTTGCTGCAACTGTGCACAGACCACAACCTGTTTCTGGCCAGCACTAACTTCCGGCACAGTCATCACCGTTGTGCCACCTGGCGTCCTCCCTCTGCATCCCAAGCCTGTACTCAGATTGGTCACATCGCGATCAGCTACCGCTGGCGTGGTTGTGTACAAGACTGCCGCTCCTTTTGGAGTACCTATCTGGAGTCTGATCATGCCCTGGTCTGCGCCAATCTCACCTTACTTTTCAGTGGCCGAAGGATTGACCACCACCAACGGATTGATGTTAGTAAACTGGCTGCAACTTCTGTTGCAAGTAAGTATCGAGCGGAGCTAGCCTCTAGGCTAGCTACCATCCCACCGAAAAGTATAGATGAGCATTGGTTGCTTCTTCACGACGCCATGAAAATGGCGAGTAAAGCCGCTTGCGGCTTCGCGAAACGTCCCGCTTACAAGCACTGGGTTTCTTCTGGCTCCTTACAACTGATGGAAGCCCGTCGGTCTACTCCGGGTGACCGTGAGTTTGACCACAAACGAAGGCTGTTACATAATGAAATCGGGCAAAGCTTGCGTAAGGACCGAGAAGCCTGGTGGTCGGAGCGTGCTAATGAGATGGAAGCAGCAGCTGCATCTGGTAACTGCCGGAAGCTCTTCCAACTCATCCGAGCCACTGGCAGCAAGAAGTCTGGTGTGAGTGAAACAATCTACGAGGATGATGGGATGCCAATCACTAACATCTCTCGACGCCTTAGACGATGGGCGGAATTTTTCGAAGGGCAGTTCAACTGGCCTGCTGCTCCGGCAACATCGACCAGTTTGTCCTGCCCCCCATGACCGGTGACGACTGATCCACCAAACGAGGCGGAAGTCCGCAAGGAACTCCAACTCTTGAAACGTTATAAATCACCTGGCCCAGATGACTTACCTCCGGCTCTTTTTAAATATGGTGGTGACTTTCTGACTAAGGAATTGACTGTGTTGTTTGCAAAGGTTTGGGAGCAAGAAAGTGTTCCAACATCATGGAATGAGTCAATAGTCGTCCCTATCTTTTAAAAGGGTTCACGTTGTTCCTGTAACAACTTTCGGGGGGTAAGTCTACTTCCTATTGAGTCCAAACTATTGGCTTCTATCATTCTTCGTAGGTTGTTTAAAACTCGAGAACGATTGACTCGCGAGGAGCAGGCTGGTTTTCGTTCTGGTCGAGGATGCATTGATCACATCTTCACCCTCCGCCAAATGTTAGAACACCGTCATACTTATCGCAGGCCAACAATCGTAGTGTTTCTTGATATCAGGGCTGCCTTCGATTCGTTGGACAGAACTGTTCTCTGGGATTGTCTATTGAAGAAGGGTGTGCCGGAGAAGTTCATTAACATCTTAAAGGCCCTGTATACGAACACCTCAGGCCGAGTGAGGGCATACAACCACCTTTCTTCCTTGTTCCATTCGAGCAGCGGGGTTAGGTAGAGTTGTCCAATCTCACCATTCCTCTTCAACTTTGCCATTGATGACATTCCGGAAACAGCTCTGATGGATGTAAGTAATGGCGGTGTGGATCTGCTGCCTGGAGAAAGACTTCTCGACCTTGAGTATGCGGATGATATTGTCTTACTGTGCGATAATGCCCAAGGCATGCAATCAGCACTTAATCAGTTGGCAATCAGTGTCCGCAGGTTCGGCATCGTGTGTTCGGGCGCAGAGACGATAATTCAATTGATGTCACCATGTTGAAACACCGACTTCGGTGGCTTGGACATGTTTTACGAATGTCGTCCCAGAGAATTCCACGTCGTGCATTATTTGCCGACTCTGCGACTGGTTGGAAAAAACGGAGAGGAGGTCAGTGTATGAGATGATGTCGTGGCATGAAAGAAAGCTGCAAAGGGCTAGCTCCTGTTGGTCCTTCACGACTCCCTGGTTGGGGTCCGAGAGATGGTGCAACACAGTGTCTAGAGACGTTATCAGATATGGCTCAGAATAGACGCCAGTGGTGTGCCTGCTGTAACATTCTTTTACTTTCCTCATAAAGAGTGGCTATAACTTTCCTATCTGAGAGAGCTCTTCTGGTTGTACTTTTCAGTTCCCCCCATCATTACTCTTCTCCTTTTCATTTTTTTCCTTCTTTTATATATACGCATCTTCTTCCTTCTCCTCCCATTCTCATTATTTTGTGTGGCGCATATGTATCCGGTGCCCTTTGTATCAATATATATGTGATTAAATAATAATAATAATGAAACGCTTTTATGGAACCCAAAATAACAACATATAAACGAGTGTTCATTGTTGACCCAATCAGTGTGACCTACACTGTGGGATTTATTTCGACTCCACAGAGTTTCCAGATAATCATAGAGCGAAAATTTCGAATTACCGGATGGAGAACAAATTCAAGATGTACTTTGAGCTAATTTTGTCCGTGGCAGTTTCCAATGGGATACTGGTTAACGAATTTTTGATGTAGGTTTGTTCTCTGAGCTGGATGGTTTTGTCGTGGAGCTTTCATCGTCCTGAACGACATCATCAGCACAAACTTCGGGTTAACGGTTAACAAATTCCGTGACGATGTTAACCAGTCGGTCTTACCCAACATAAAACCTGTCACATGTGAGCATCTTTTGAAGTTGCTTTGGTGCATTAGATAAGAATGCCAAGACATCCCAGAGTAGTAGAGGTGCCTACAGTAATACTGTCAACAGGGAATATTAGGTGTGGATGTTATGATTGAAGGTTAAAAACAGATTCATAGATAATTTTGAAATTCATGATTTAAGAGGTGATACATAGTAAATGTATCTGCGCCACGGCGACTAATTCTGAGCTATGTCATTCAGCATCTCCCACCGTTGGTGATGATGACCACAATCCAAACAATATTTCTTTCTAAGCATTCGTTATCTTGGTCACAAATATTCCCTTCTTTTCTTATGTACACAACGAGTGTAAATGAATAACGAAAGTATTTAGCAACCATTAGTTGTTAGATCTATATCTATTCGTAACTTATTGTTTTTATATTCGATCCCGTTTCACTGAATTCGTGTTTTATTGGATTTACTGACTTTATCACTATGTGCAGTATCATCTTGAGCTTTCTATTGGAGTTATTCTATGTGACGATTTGCAGTCAATACCTACTTTAAGGAGTTCTAAAGTACCATGATGATAACAGACTGTTAAATAGCTTTTATCCTGTTGCTTGATTTTTTGTTGGCTAACAGAGTTACTTAGTTCTCTAGATACTTAATTTTCAACCGACAAGCTATGATTTCAAGTTCGCCCCCGCTAGCCTTTATTCTTCAGTACCAGTCATAACTTAATGATAATGGAACGTATACATATCCAGTGATTGTACTTATGTTACTAGGTATTTCAAAATTTCTGTATTCCAAATCTTATCACTTCACGTTTTGTTGCTTTTCGTTTTTATTATTCCAACTTGATTTTGCTGATCTAATTTAATTTTATAGATCGCTCATATGACTAAAAGTGCTATCTATTTGTTTGACGCAGTTATGTTTGGGGCAGCTCTGTTATTCATCAATCAATATTTTTCGTGTCCCTTTCCTGAAGTCTTAGTTCTGTGGATATCTTTGGTGAGTTAGTGTTTCTATCGCTATCCTAAACCTTTGAAATAACAAGTAATATATATATATATATATATATATATATATATATATGGTCTTCGAATAGATAACTGTTGGCTTTACTGATAAAGTATGTACTTTTTTTGTTTATCGTTTATTTGCTAACACTATAAGCCAATAAACCTGGGAAATCGGGATGTGAAAAATCACATGTACGGGTAACTATTGTGTTGAGTGACATGTGAAACTGAAACATTGGAAACATAAAATTGCGGATGAGTTCATAATAGCTAGAGAAAGTCAAGGCACAGGCTGAATGAAAAGAAGTAAACGAGCGACTAAAGATAAGCATTAGAACCCACAAGCAGTAGTATATTGAAGACCTGGCAATGGCAGCGGAAAAGGCTACAACGGAACGCAAACGGGACAACTATATGATACAAAGAAGAAACCAGCAGGGAAATATAATAAAACAGAGCAACCAGTCAAGAACAATGGAACAGGTGGGTAGAAAAATTTGAAGAACTCCTGAATAGACCAGCCACATTGAACGCACCAGACATCGAGGCAACACACACAGACCATCTCATAGCTGCCACCCCGCCAACAGTCAGAGGAATCAGCTTTGCTATCAGACAAATCAGGCGTGAGAAAGCAGCAGGACTTGACATTATACCATCTGAAGCACTAAAGTCAGACATAGATTAGTTGCAAACATGCTCTTCATCCTATTCAGAAAGATTTAGGAGAAAGGACAATTGCCGACAGACTGGGGAAAAAGATAACTCATCAAGATACCAAAGAAAAGAGATCGCACCTAAAGAGAGAAATGTGGAGGAATCATGTTACCATCGGTACCAGGACAGGTCTTCGACAGTGTTGCTGAACGAAATGAAAGAGTATAAATAAATTATCAAATCAAAACTTGGTAATGATACATACAAATGAAAGATTTAGTAGATTCCTAGCTTCGGGACCGACAGTCCGCATTCCGTAAAGATCGGTCGTGCACAGACAGAATCGCGACACTACAGAACATCATCAAACAATCAGTTGAATGAAACTCGTCACTATACATCAGCTTTATTGACTTTGAGAAGGCGTTTGGTAGCGTGAATATGAGAACTTTCTACGACACTATGGTGTACCTGAGAAGGTCCTCAACATTAAAAATTCATACGACGGACTACACTGCAGCTGACAGATGCATTCCAATTGGTGACCGGAGTCAGACAAGGCTGATTACTCTCTCTCCTTTTCTTCTGGTGGTTAACTGGATTGTGAAAACCTCTGCATCTGAGGGAGAGCACGGAATACAATGGAAAGCTTGGATGTGGTCAGACTATTCACTTCACAGATGACCTAGTCCTTCTCTCCTATACACAGCATCACGTGCAAGTGAAGATAACCAATGTTGCAGTAGCCGCTACAGCAGTAGGCCTCAACGTATACTAGGGAGAAAGCAAGATATTAAAATATCACACTCAGCACCAACGAAATCACGTTTGATGAGGTATCTCTGGAAGAGGTAGAACGTTTTACATACCAAGACGACATCGATAAGCAAGGATGATCTGATGCAGATGCAAAAGCATGGATGGGCAAGCAAGGGTGGCATTGCTGCAACTGAATAACTTGTCGAACTCAAAACAACTGTCTGCAAGCCAACATCAAAGAATCCTCAATAGGAACGTCAAGACAGTTCTACTGTACGGAGCTGAAACGTGGAGAACTACTGAAACCATCGTCAAAAAATGTAAAAGTAATTCTAAAAAATGTCCGTTTGTCGGATATCATCAGCAAAAATTCACTATGGCAGAGAACAAACCAGTTTCTATCTGAAGAGGAAATTAGGAAAGGATGGAACAGGTAGATAGGACACATTGTGGAACTAGTCAAAGGCAAAAGGAAAAGAGACATACCAAAGAACACATTGCACTGGAAATCAGAGGTAGATATCAAAAGAATCAATAACACTTAGAAACAACTGGAAAGGAGAGCTCAGGACAGAGTTGGTTGGAGGATCCTGGTCGTTGGCCTATGGTCCACGAAGGGTAAGAGGCGTAAGTAAGTAACTAAGATTATCTCTTTAAAAGGACTCCCCGTCGTCCCTGACTTGTGATAATTGTTGGAGTTAAGATGGAGGTAAAAATTCATTTGGTTTTTTAAGTTTCTGCATATGATGTTGATTTCGGCTTACGGACGTGTGGCGGGTTCTGTAAGGTAATTTAAATTGCCAGGTGCTTGAGGACTTCTTTTTATTCGTGAAGTGATTTCTTTGGTCATTGACTCACCATGAATGACATAAACTTCTTATTTGTTAAAAATATTTGACGTGGTCAACATTTTAAACTTTTCAATTGGCCCATCCACTAAGCACAGTATAAGTATGTTAACTAAGGATAGACAGCCCTACTCTAACTGTGCAAATTTACTCAATAAAGAGGCTAAGATAATGTATTAAGAAAAACTCACTGCATAGCCCAGTCCAAAATCAAAGTTCTTTTCAAAGGATAGTAATGGCATCTTCGCCATCCTTATGTTGTCCTTTCGAGGTTTTCGGAAGATGGCAGTTTGTTTGGATTTCATTCTAAAAAGACTGCTTTGTTTGTGCTATCTAAACCGGTCAGATAACGTTCTATCCAGAGACAAGTTTCTCATAAGTTATGATTACTATAAAAACCATATCTATCAGTCATTTAACCAAATGCAACTCAAGACCTGCCATATTTTTATAACAGTTCAAGCTGCAATACCCTATTAGCATAGGGAGATGAAATTGTCAGGGAAAATCCTGATGTGGTAGAGATAGTAAAAGGATCAACGGTAATAGGAAGCATTAGTCATCGAACATACGATTCCAGTAGAAAGTATAAATCACTGAAATATATAAACTTATAAGGAATTTAGAAACCTAGGTTCTGAATGGAAACCAAAAAGTGAAGGTATCTGTGGCATTGCCAAAAAATTTTAAGCCTCATCATTCACAGTCTAACCACTGGTTACGGCAATCACGCGGACCCCAACCAGTTAGCCCGCACCTATTTACATTGCTTAGCCCAACAGTCAATGTCTTCACAGTCTGGTCACACGTCTTGTCATACCTACCCGTAGCTATCTCTCAACCTATACCAGCCATCATCTCTCGTCGAGATAATCGATAGATGGGCATGCGTAATATATGTCATATCTACCCCAATCAATGAAGATTCACTACCATGTCAATCGATATGTCTTATTTACCTGTGGGACAATAAGACGGAAATTGGAGAGCAAAAATCCCTTCGATTAATTTATATTTTTTAATTAGCATGTTTCGTAGTAGATAAAACTGCAGTCGAAATAAGTTACTGTTTGCTTATTATTTATAAATTCTAGATATTTGGAACTGTGAATATCATATTATATGATGCTGATGTATGTATACAGTTGGCTAACTTTCTTAATATATATGTATTCCGCATTGGTCGACCATCATCTACGCGTCACAATAATAAAAATACACCCGTAAAGTCGTCAGTTCAAGACAACACTTACAAAAATTCACTTCGTATACGAAACAGTTCTCGTAATTGATAATAGTTAACAGATTTTTTTATCAGGTACTTTGTATTTCTCTTTTCCCCAAAATTTACCATTGGTACACATGAATGTATACATTACAAAATTATATACAAAGAACTTTCACTTAATTTTGACTCATTCGAATATATATATATATATATATATATATATATATATATATATATATATATCCCTTTTTGTGTATACAGTAAGAAGTAATCGGAATCTCAGTTTTGTTTATTATTCTTAGAACATCATAATCCACGAAATGATTGAATTGAAAATACGTTTCGTTTTCGGCTGTACAAAAGTTTTTATTAATGCGGTTCATTAAGTCCACGTAATTTGCAATTTCTGATGCTCATAATACGTATGAAGTTTTACAATTTCTTTACAATCGAGTGCATAATTTCCACCTATTTATACTTTCTATTTATCCTTCCCTTATTCTTATGGTGTTTTTCTTTGCTATTTACTTTTCTTGTGTTTTGCGCGCCATTTGTACCAGTCGAATTAGCTTATTTTTATAATTATTTATTTATTTCTCTTAAAATAAAGATCCACATTTACGATTATCTTCTGTGTTTCCTATTTGTCTTACGATTGTGTTATATATGTGTATACATCAAATCCATTCTAAATCCCTGTCAAAATGAAAAAAGAGATAACATACTCCTGGTTTTCTTTATAAATACCAGGTGTCAATCTATGTAGCTTCCTGTTTTGAATTTTTGTATGTATTTGTGGGCATTGTTGATTATTGTACTCTTTTTCTTAGATATTTCCCATATCATGATTTACTTTTATTGTCTGTAGAGTTTTTTTGTATTAGAGTTTTGTCAAATAGATGTGCCATGCAATTATCAGTAAAGCTAATCGACAAATACTTCATTTTGTGTATAAGGATATCGGTGACTTATCCTTCTGCTCTTTCTTTGTAAGCAATTATTTGGTAATTTCTGTAGTACCAACAGTCCATTCCACGTACAATCTTTACTTATTATAAAAAAATATACGTAATAAATGCGGTAGAGTTATGTTCCAGGCTTATCGGTCATATTAGTACTATTAGTACGTGCATGTAAACCTGTCTGTTTCTTGCTTTTTAGTGATAGGTTTTATTTACAAAACGTGAACAGATTGTTAAACAGTACAAAAAGAACAAGGTTTACAGAATGAAATAAATTCATTATATGTCATGGCCTCATCTCAGATACAAACGAGTAGTAATTATATAAGTAATAGTAAAATTACAAACAAGGTATATTAACGAAGAATATTATTTTCAATAAATTCTCTTCAGGTGGATATTATAGTAATTTTTAATAGTCGAGTTCATGAGTCAGTTAAAACTAGACCATCATGGAAAACCTGTAAGCACTGGACGGCCGTTTCGTCCTAGTATGGGACACCTCAGCAGTGCGCGTCCACGATCCCGCCTCGCGAGCTCCGAACCCAGGACCTATCGGTTTCACGCGCGAATTGTAATGAAAATGATTGTATAATCATTCAACAAAGAAACCAAATTAAATTTATGTGAGCATCAATAAAATTGTTTCGGAGGGGGTGTTTACTTAATTACAACTAAAGTCAGCATGGTAGAAGGTATATCACACCGACTTTCTTTAAACAGGTTGGGAAGTCGCTGAGAAGTTATCTTCACTGAAGTTCTTACTCATCTTGCATGTATTATGTCAGATATAATTAGTAACTGAAAGAAAAAAAAAACTTCTAAAAAGTCACAACTTATTGAACATATAAATGCAAGTTATTCAGAAGTACTGTTTGGGTATAATATAGGATTAATGATACACGGGATAATTTATGACTGGTCATATTATTAAGCTACTTCCACTTGTAATCCTTGCATCTCATGGAGCGATCTTCAATGGTTTTTAAGAAGAGTATTTGAGCCTGTTTATTGTATCTGCCACAAGTTACTCCGTTGAATTCGGCTTACGACTGAAAATGCAAAAGGTCAATATCCGTAAACATTCTTCTGTACATCTATATTCAATTATTTCTCTGAACACCTGTGTTTTACCGCTGGGATTGTCTATTTGATCTTCCAAGTATGAAAACATATGATTATAGTTAGGAATTTTATTCACTGGTGTGCTAAACATTGGAATCATTAGAGACAATACTATTTCTGCTTTTCATAGTATTTTCATTACAGTCGAGAGTATGAGTTTCTCTATGGTTTGAACAAATTCCAATAATGATGATCACGTGCTAGTACATGTCACAGAGTAAACAGCTAACAAATAAACTGTCAAACCAGATTTATGCTGAACATGAGAATTTCAAAAGATCCTATCTAAGTAATATTTACACATAAGCTAATCTGTAAAAAAATTTTTAAATGCTATTGATTAAATATAAATTGAATTAAACAATCTTTCCTTCCATTTCTTAATATAGTTACGGCCAATATCCCTTTGATGGATACTTTCACGGTAAATGTGAAGCTAGAAGCATTAAGTGATTGTATTGCATGACGAGTATTCTTGAAGAATAATTTGTGCATTAAAATGTTCAGAATTAATTGTATCAGTACAAAGACACCATTAGTATGAGAGAGTACTTTTTTTCAAAGTTCCATTGTCAATATATCAGCGATTCAACGGAATGAGGAAGAATTATTATAAACACGAAGTGTAATTACCCTCTCTGTTTATGTGTTTCTAACGGTTATCTCTATCGAGATAAAAGTGAGAGATAGAGAACTGGACGTAATCTCATAAAAATTCAGATTATGACGTTAAAATTATTGACGACACTTAGCTTTACAATAACTCAAATCACAAGCTAAATCGATCAAGGTAATACTGAAAAAAAGGTGACTGGAAGCCTGTTGATTTACACTTGGAAAATTTCAAATGGAAAAGAAGACAGGACTGTTCGTACAACTCGAACTGTTTATACAAACACATGTAAATTTGCACAATTAACAGGTACCCACACTCAGAATTTAATTCAACTACGACATTCTACAAATTTCATACACAAACAAATGTGGACATTTACGGCTCACAGAATCACGACCAAAATTTAACATCACATCAGCATAATCAGACCTATTTCAATCTTTGATATTGATTGCTTAAATATTCTACCTGCTTCTTTTATGCTATTTAAACTTGTGTTCATGAATTAATTTCATTAATTTATTGATTCATTCTGAAGAGGCGGCTTACACCAATTCACGATACAGAAGAAAATAAGATTTTTACTCATTAGAATGTCACAAATATCATTATTTATTAGTTATAATTGGTTTCTATCTATAAGATTTATTTTCTTGGCAGATATTTTATTTGAATACTTTTTGTTATACTACCAAGCTACGGTTAAAATAAGTTCGACTTGATCTATTGTACTTTATTTATTTTGAAAATTAGTGTATGTGACCAATGAATTAATTAAATAACAGCCACATTTGTAAAGAAACCACAACACTCGTCGTTTTGTGGTTAAATAAAGACAGGACTTAGCAAGGTTAGACTTCAAGTGGTGTGGCTTTAAAGTAAATACAGCTAGTCGGTTATTTATTTATGAACAAATGGTATTATTTTTCAAAATAACTAGTTACTCTATGGAAACATTTCTTCCACTGTAGTACATAAATAACGTGTATAGTACTATAAACGTTTAGTTCATAAATTATTCACATGTCTAGCTTTGAGATAACACTGTAGAGCAGTTTAAAAATATGAGACCACCAGATATAATGGTTTTATTTTTTAAAATTGAAACATTAACTCAGATCGTGGTCTTTTTTGCAAATTAGTTGACTTATACTACCTTAAAAAAATAACAGACTGTACGTTTTATATTCTGATGTCTAGATCAAAGAAACGATTAAAATAGCTGTTACAAATAAACAAAAAAATCAAGTATAGTCACCTGGAATTAATGATAAAAGGAAGTACATTCTAGATTTGGACTTCGCAGATAACCTGACTCTTCTATCTTACACACACGAACAAATGAAGATAAAGACAACCAGTGTAGCAGTACCCTCTACACCTATAGGCCTCAGTATACACAAAGGAAAAAAGTAAGATCCTCGAATACAACACGGAGAACACCAACCCAATCTCCTTCATGGAAAAACTCTGGAAGATGTGGAATCTTTCACGTACCTGGACAGCATCATCGATAAACAAGGAGGAACTAATCTGCAGACGCAAAGGAGAGGATGTTCAAAGCAATGGCCACATTCCTATAGTTGAAGAACATATGGAACTTAACACAACTGTCAACCACTATCAAAGTCAGAATCATTAATACTAACTTCAAAACAGTTTTACTGTACGGAGCTGAAACTTGCAGAACTACTACAACCATAATCAGAAAGGTACAAGTATTTATAAACGATTGTCTGCACAAGATACTCAATGTCCGTTGGTCGGATACCACAGCCTACTGTGGGACAGGACAAACCAGCTTCCACCTGAAGAGGAAATTAGGAGAAGGTACTGGAAGTGGATTGGACATACATTGCATAAACCATCAAACTGCATCATAAAGAAAGGGGTAACTTGGATTCCTGAAGGGGAACAGAAAAGAGGAAGACCGAAAAGCACACCACGTCAGGAATTGTAAGTAGAAATAGAAAGAATGAACAGCGACTGGATATAACTGGGAAGTATTGCCTAGGGCAGGGTTGGATAGATAGTGCTAGTGGCGGCCTTTGCTCCGCCACGAAGGGTAACGGGCGTAAGTAAAGTAAGTAAGTACATCCTTACTCTTTTTGTCAATTTCATAAAACTTTATTTTTTTAACTACCATTAACAATCTAGTCATTAAAACAATCTAGTTAGCATTGAATAAAATCAATTGTTTCATGCAGTTTAAAATCAATTGTTGTTAGTTTAAGAAAACCAAATTATTGTATCATATGATTAATTAGGAATTTAGGTAGCTGTTTCGCATGATTTATTGTAAGTCGACATGCGACGTTTTCACTAGTTTTTACAACTCTTTCCATAACACTATAAAATAAATTTGTGCCTGAAGTTTATTTTGCAATAAAAATAGAAATGTTGTATAATATCATATGAGTTAAACATGGTATTTTCACGACTAATGTAAATCGTAAAATATGTGACTAGTTTATCAGTAATTTCCTTGTCAACTTACAATGATGTGAAGTGATTACTTCATTCTTTTACACTGAGCCAGAGTAAACCTTGATTTGTTGATTAAATAGAAGTAGCATAAATGAAATTGCACTATTCTGTGCTATCAATCTATTCAAAACGAGATTTGTGCGACTAAGAGTATTCATATACTGTTACTTACTTACTTACGCCTGTTACTCCCAATGGAGCATAGGCCGCCGACCAGCTTTCTCCAACCCACTCTGTCCTGAGCCTTCTTTTCTAGTTCTATCCAGTTCTTGTTCATTCTTCTCATGTCTGTCTCTATTTCTCGGCGTAATGTGTTCTTTGGTCTTCCTCTTCTCCTTTGACCATCAGGATTCCATGTGAGGGCTTGTCTTGTGATACAATTGGGTGATTTCCTCAAAGTGTGCCCAATCCACTTCCAGCGCTCCCTCCTGATTTCTTCCTCTGCTGGAATCTGGTTTGTTGTCTCCCACAGTAACTTGTTGCTGATAGTGTCTGGCCATCAGATCCGAAGTATCTTGCGTAGACAGCTGTTAATAAACATTTGTATCTTCTGGATAATGGCTTTCGTAGTTCTCCACGTCTCCGCCCCATACAGTAGAACTGTCTTCACATTTGTATTGAAAATTCTGATCATGGTGTTGGTTGACAATTGTTTTGAGCTCCAGATGTTTTTCAGTTGTAGGTATGCTGCTCTTGCTTTGCCGACGCGCGCCCTCACATCTGCATCAGATCCACCGTGTTCATCAATGATTCTGCCCAGATATGTAAAGGTTTCCACATCTTCCAAAGCTTCTCCGTCAAGTGTAATTTGATTGGTGAATATTGTATTGTATCGGAGAGTCTTGCTTTTCCTTTTGTTTATATTGAGACCTACTGCTGCTGAGGCCACTGCTACACTGGTCCTTTTCTCCTGCATTTGTTGTTGCGTTTGTAATAGAAGAGCCAGATCATCCGCGAAGTCTAAATCGTCAAGCTGCATCCTGCCTGTCCACTGTATCCCGTGACTTCCTCCAGATGTTGACGTCTTCATGATCCAGTCGATGACCAGGAGAAAGAGAAACGGTGAAAGTAAGCAACCTTGTCTAACACCGGTCTTTACTTCAAACGAGTCGGTGAGTTGTCCTCCGTGGACGATTTGGCAGTTTAGACCATCGTAGGAATTTCATATGATATTGACTATCTTACCAGGTACGCCGTAGTGTCGAAGAAGACTCCATAGTGTCGTCTTGTCCACGCTATCAAATGCCTTCTCGTAGTCAATGAAGTTGATGTAGAGTG